TTTGGAATGATGGGAGCAGTTGGGGGTTGTCCCTGCTGTGCTGCTTGGTACCTGTTTAACTCCTTTACCCTCTGCAAGTGAAGGGCCGTTAGAATTGCTCTAGATCCTGATTGAACATGCAAGTTATTTTCTTGCAATGCTTCCAAAATCATGGCTGAAACAACCCAATCCCCTGAACTCTGCCCTTGAGAAGGGCGCTGCTCCTGGTTTCCATAGTAGCTGCTGGAGGAGCTGAGCAGTGTAGAGAGGCTGATCGTGACCACAAGCCTACAGGAATATGCACAAAACGTAGCAAAGTCGACTTCGAAAGATCTGCATTTTCATTAGATGACTCAAGGACTTGGCAAGTGCCTGTGACGTTCGGTTGGTGGTTGCCAGAAGCTGTTACAGTAGTCTGTCATCTGTGTTAGGTGGCCTGTGATCTCATGGCCTCTGTCCAGGTTTTTGTGGACAGACGTCCACCAAAGAATAAAGTTACTAACACAGAAAGCCCCCGTCTTGGCAGACCTGGTGAAGAAGCCAAGGACTAGCTGGGCTTGGAGCCCTTGTTTCAGTAGTTGTGTTGTCTGTGCTGGTTAATCCTCAAATAAGTAATGGCAACCGTTCCACGACTACTCTGAAGGAGCTTATTTTGTCTGTGCTAATGTGGTTGTGCCTTTTTTTTCCTGCCATTTCAGTATGTGAAGAAATCTTCCAAGGCTTTTATCAAAGGTGGATTCTTAATTATTTCTAATGAAAGAACACGCTTATTTTTCCCTCCCCTGAGACTACGCCATGGCCTCGAGGCAGTGGAAAGCTGAGTGCCGGTGATGCTCTGCTATGGCAGAGCACTAACGATGGTGTTACAGACTTGGTGGGCAGAGGGGAGCCTGAGGCATAGCGAAGATCTCCCCAAACCCGTGGGGAGACCAGCCTGGGGATTTCTGCTTCCTCGAAGGCTAGAAGAGCAACAAAGAAAAGAGCCTTTTTCTGGAAAAGGGGCAAAATGTAGCTTCGTCACAGAGGCGCAAAAAGAAAGAAAAATTATTTAATCTCCTGTTCTAAAGGTTTTTACTGTATTTTGGTATTCCAGGATACAGGTGTCTTGCAGAGTACCAGTGGTCTCGGCTGTACCGCTCCATCCGGATCCATCTCCTGGGAGGGAAGGTCGTCATTGCTCTGTCCCCAGCGGCCTCGGCCCTTCTGTGCCACAACAGCGTGCTGGGGAGAGGTGACCAAGGGACAAATGCCAGAGGCATCCCTCTGCTGTGGAACCGAGGAGGGATCGCAGGGCTGAAATTTATCCTATGCTGCTGGGTTATATCCCTCAGCTCGCTTCATCCCTCATGGCCACCTCCCTGCCTGAGCGGTGCTGGGGGCAGAGCTGACATGCCGCTGACCAAAACCCTGGCGATGCTCCGTGGGAGAAACCAGACGTGTTTCTGACATGACCGTCCTGCTCAGGACGGGCTTATCGGCCTCAACAGCTAGCTGCTGTGGTGTGTTTGCGTGTGTGTGGTGAGTCTCGGGGATGAGTAGGATTCCTGTGAGATGGTGGAGGTCGGAAAAGTGCTGCTCAACATCTCGGACCCTTGCTCCAGCTGCTGGGAGCAGGGAGTGAGGCAGCGGAAAGGTGAAGGCAGGTGGTGGCACTACCTCTCCTCCCACCCCTTTGCCAAGGAACCAGGGGCACAGTCTCGGCCGGCGCTGGTCTCTGCCCCTTGCCAGCAGTCCTGCACGGAGCTGCCTCCCTTTGCCCCGTCAGCCCGTGTACATGTCCCTGCCGCTGCAGGCCCGGGGGCTGAAGTGACATTTTATTTCTCCCTTCTTAGTTTTCATCTGTCCTGCCCTTGTGCATTGCTTTCAGCGTGGCTTACAAGGAAAAATAATCCTGCATGAGGCTTTGGCATGAGCGTGTCTGGTAATGCCGAGGGAGTTTTTATTCCTAGATAAATGTCGCGTTGAGCCCCAGGGGCTGGGAAGAGGCGGCTGCAGCTTGGCGGGGACGAGCAGCCCTTGGTCGGCAGCGAGACCAGCCCTGTCCTTTCTCCCTCTTGCAGCAGCGAGGCCCCAGGCTCTTGCAGCCATCAAGGAAAGACCGACTCTTCCTCAGCGAGGGATGAGCTTGGACGTGTCGGCACGTTTTTCAACTCTTCACACTTCTGTGTGCCCATGGGCTTCTGTGTCAGGTCCCCGAGGGCCCCGCGGTTACGCTCAGCAGGTTCCCTGTCTTGCACCATCCACACCTTGTTTTTCTGCAACTTTCAGTAGGTCACAAAGCTCCTCTGCAAACGTGTCTCTGGCTCCTGCTGCAGAGCCGGGACTTCTCCGTACATGCCTTTATCACACACAGGCACGCTTTGTGCCGCCAGCGCCTGTATCTGAACTCGTACCGTTCCCTGAACACGAGATAAAAATGAAGTTGCGTCTTGCCAGCAAGCGCGTTGCTCAAACAATACGGCAGGGCTGTCGCTCAGCCCCGGTGCTGTGGCACTGTTCCCGGGAGCACGCAGCCGCGGGCGATGCTCTGGCCTTGGGCTGCAGTCCTGCCTCGTCACAGCACCCCATTCCAGCGGTGGAAGGGACGGGTCACCCCCCTCACACCACCCTCTCAGAGCAGGGTGCTGGAGTCGCTCCCTGCAGTTCTGCTCTGCAGGTGCCAGGAGCTTCAGTGCTTCAAATGCGCTGTGCTGAAATGGTGTCAGAACGGCTTCTGCATCAAAGCTGAAATAAGCGATTGCTCTATTTTGAGGGGGAAATGTGGGACAACCCTAAAGTTATGAATCGTGGTAGGATTGGACCTGACCTTCCAGTGCTGCTCTCCTGTGTTTGGACGTGTTGCCAGGACTCTCTACCCGATAGCTTTGTGGGAACCAATGTACAAAGGTGTTACTAAAGGCAGCCTTGGAAACCTTGATGCAGGTTGTTTGAGGAGCTCTGTTGTAACTATGTGCATGCAACCCATGACACAGGGTTGCTTTTTTGTTTTTTAATAGATGCTTCAAGGCTCTTCGGTGCTTTGCTAAAAATATTTTGGTTTAAAACTTGAAAGCATGAAGGAATAAAATGAGTGTTTGCAGCTGCTGCACGTGAACAGCTTAACAAGATGTGAGATAGAAGAAATAGGAAACAAAACCTGATTTGCATCAGCAGAGGGAAGTCCCTGCAAACAGTTTCGAGCAGGGACCGTGGAGGCCGGAGGGTATTTCTTCAACCGAAGGAACTGTTGCCTCAGTCCGCTTGAAACCGAGGTTAGAAAATCACAAAGCCAAGTGACAAAACCTCTAGAAGGGTGCAGTTTGATTTGTAGCCTCAGCATTCACAAACGCACTGCAATAAAGGATGGACGTTGGTGTTACCTGAAGCACCAGAACTGGGCTCCACCATCACCCCGGCTCTGCTGCGTTCAGCAGCCGACGGCCTTCCCACCATCCTCGTGATCCTTCTCAGGAGGCTTTCGAGTGTCTCTCCGCAGACAATAAGTGACCGGGCGCTTTTGGCTTTTTCAGGGTGTCACCCAAAACAGCTGTGAGTTGGCTGGTGTCCCCTCTCCACCCCTCCCTCCCTCCAAAACTAGGACATCTAAATTTAACCTGCTATCAACAGATGAGGCTGGAGAGTTTCCACTGTGGAAAGGAATCCCACTCAGAACCTGTCCTCTCCTCTGCTCAGGCTCCATCCATGCACATTCCTTTCCTCGAGCCGTGACCTCCCATACGTATCATTCCACCCCTTCCCCTCCCGCACTTGGGTTTGTGTCACTGCTACGTGCTGGTGGAGCTTCCCAAACTGACGATGTGGCTGTCCATGTTTTATGTGGGCGCACACCTCAGTGGTTTGTGGATGACGGTACCAGCTCTCCCTGCTGCCCGGCAGCAGCGTGCAAAAGGCTTTTGAGCTGCAAAGGTTGGCTACAACCTTTAAGGGGCATAACAGGCTTGTAACGGGCTCTTGTTCGCTCCAGGCAGGACCCAGGGAGATGCAGCGAAGGGGAGACATCGGTGTGAGGCGCACCTTGTTGCGGGGTGCCCAGGTAAGGGTTCAGCCCCTGTGCTCAGGGCACACGCCGGGAAAGCCCCGAGCGTGGTGTGGCTTCTCCAGCCCGACGGGCAGGAGGGTTCCAGGGGTGCCGGGTGGGAGCCGATGCAGCAGCATGATCTTGCAGCAGGCAGAGCAAGCCTTTCCTCTGCTGCTTTTTGAGAAGCCTCAATGCTTCTCTGCAGGCTGGATCAGAGAGCAGCAAAACTACTGAAAGAACAAAAAAAAATTGAAAAAAAGAAAGAGAAACCTGTGTCTGCCTTGGGGTACAGCCGGTGGGAAGGGAGCCCATGGTGGGATGGGGCCATGGCAGGAGGAGCTGGAGTACAGACCTGGAAGGGGTCAGGGTTGGGCCCTGTGGATTAACGGGTTAGCACGGGGGCTGTGCTGGCCACTTGGCCAGGCACCCCCCTGCTCTCTGAAAATAATTCTGACAGTTTCCCTTACTGAAAAGCAAGCAGAACCTACATGTGAAAAATGTGGGGGGAAAACAGTGAAATGAATACAGCGTGGTATTTGAAAACCAGCCATACACTGCAGCAGCTTTTAACCTCTCGTTTGCCCAGGTCTGAAAGGGCAGGGCTGCTCTCCGCTGCCCGGGATACTGGAACCTGGCTGAGAGGCTGCCTCTCTCCAGATGCGGTACTTACAGCTAACATCTGACCAGGCTTTTGCTGAATAAGCAAACAGCGTCTGGAAACTGAACTGTGCAGAAGTTCAGCTGCTGCCTGTGCCAACCGGCTCGGCTCTGTCCTGCCGTCGCAAGATGCACAGCAGCCTGGTAATGAAAAATGCAGGATGTCGGCTGGTATTTTTAACCAGAAACCTCCGCGCTCTATCTGGTGTGGCGTAAGAGCTCAAATGGAGAGAAAAGGCACTCATGGCAAATAGGATGTTTATCGCCGCCTTGAAACGTGAGTGCAGAGGTGGTGGAGCCGTTCGTTTAAAAACAGCCACCGCCCAAACGACTCCAGGCAGACGCGTTTGAAAACTTCACTTTATTTCTCTGTCTGTTATAAAAGCAGGGTTTTGTTTTTTTCATCTCTGTAAGTGTCCAGACTCGGTACATCTTGGTTTTGTTTTCACAGTATCTCTGCAAGACCAAGGACGATTCTTATTGCTGCGCCAGGAGCCAGGGCAGGAGGGCAGGGAGGGACAGCGGTGCCGAGGCTCGGGCAGCCCTCGCCTTACCCCCTGCTGCTGGACCCAGCCTTGCTCTCCACCGCATCGGCTCAACAGGTCTACCCCTCCCCAACGCCGCTTAATATCTTTGTTGACCCTGCGAGGGGCTGCCCCTCTCTCGCCACGCTCATCTTGGTGTCAAGGGTAGGAAACGAGAACCAAATGGCCCGTGACGCTGCTCGGCATGTTGGCCGCGCTCGACAGTGTCTGCCAGCCCCTGCCCCGCTGCTGGCTGAGGGGGAGAGGATGCAGGTGAGGATCTCGGCCAGGGCTCGTCCTGCTGCTTCCCACCCTGGACCACTACGGGATTTTGACAGGGATGGTCCAGCGACACTCTCGGCTCCTGTGGTGATTTGGGGCTATAAAGAGCTGAGCATCATTGATGGGAGAGGTGAGGCAGAGACAAGCTCACGTACTTCAGTATCCCATGTTGGTGCCCCATCACCTTCCCAGCGTATCCTTTGTGCATTCCTGGTTCTGCAAAAAGCTGCCAGAGAAGGAGCTTTATTTACCTCTGCTTATTTACCACCTTACTCGGTGCAGAATGCCCTGGGTCCCCAGACATTTAAGTCCCCGTTGGGACCCTGTCAATCCCCGTTTCTAACCGTGTGGCCGTTAACCAGCCGCATCAAGAGTGATGTCTATAGCACCTCTTAGTTCCAGCCACCGTTCCTTTTATATGCAATCTGTCCCCATCAGTTTTGTAATGAAGCAGCATTGGAAAAACCATCACTTTTAATCACAACACATGAAATCTCAAAAGAGGCAGCATCGCTTTTCTATGCCGTGTCTGGTGATGCGAATGGAGGTGGAGGGGCACGTTTCAACCTAGGCACGGGATAAAGGCATTCTGTGGGAAGGGAGAAGTCCATGCAAAGCCGACCCCAACGTGAAATTTGAATCTCGTATTTACTGCTTAGCTGGGTCTGTTCAGTGCAACAGGACGAATTAGCCAGGAGGTTACTATCAAATTGCATGGATGCATCCAGTCCACCAGGTAGAGGGAGTAGGAGGAACCAGATTTACTTAATGCACTGGGAGACTAAGTCCAACACAAAGCTAAGTGGAAAAGGACGTAGGTGTTCCCTGAATGTGGTTTTTGGTGACTGAGAAGAAATCTTTCCTTGGAATTCCTTCGTGCAGCTAATTAAGACAACCGGGTCTGATTTCTTCGACCCATGCTGACATCAGTGAGAACTGTAAGTACTCAGCACCTGGAGACAAAGTGAATACCAGACATCAATACCCCTTCTGCTCCCACCCGCGGGACTGCCCAGAAGCGCATCTAAGCGGTAGCCAAGATGCGTGCAAGCGTTATCGGCTATTCACCCACGGCTCACGTTTTGTCCTCTTCTGCGTGTATTGCCTAGGAGAAAATACAGACAAGTCCCAAAGGGCTGTGCCAGTAGAGCTATAGTTAGGATTTGAATCCATGTAAGAAAATGGAGTTTAATACAGAGAGTGACTGTGCAAGTCAAAGCCTCCCTAGCTTCATCCTTTATAGTCCCAAAGCCTGGATTTAGGCAACCTTTGGCTCGTGGATTTGGGTTTGATCCAGTCCATTCGTTTGCAAGCTGCTTGTAATACTGGACTTCCTACCTCAAAGATCTGCCCGTTGGAGAGAGCAGCTCCGTGGCTGAGCATCTCTGAAAACTGGTGCGTGGAGGAGGGTGGGCTCCCCTTGGAACGGGGGTACGGTTGCAGGGACCCAGGATCTTCGTTTGCTGGTTTGAGACTGTCACAGGGAGGGGGGACATATCTTCTGGGAGTGCTTTCCCCGGGCAGGTGGTGATGTTGAACCTGTTGCCGAAGTAGATGGTGTGGCTTTGGAGAAGTGAGGAAGGAGAATTTCTTGCTGGTAATGAAGATGAAGATGGCAACAGAAGCTAATCGGTGCCCCTCCGAGGGGAGAGCCTTTTGAGCAGCATGTGTGTGGTTGCAAGACCCGTTCAGACCAGTTCGGCAGGGCCAGGCTTGTATCTGGCTCACTGAGCTCTCTTCAGTCCTAGCTCCTGAGGCAAATTGTTAATAAGAGGAAGAAACGTTATCTAGGGGAAGGAGCTGCAGAGGGAAGGGGAAGTGATCTGCCTGAGGCCATGTGCTGGAGCAAGAGAGCAGATCCTCTTCTCCCCATCCTGTACCCTGTCCTCCAGATGCCACCTCTGCTGCAGAACTTCCTCTGCCTGCAAACTGTGCCCCTCCCGTTCAAACGGCTTTTCCATACCGCCTTCCTCTGCGGAAGCGCATCTGGTTATCTCCGGAGCCATCTGGACAAGGTCCTTATTAAAACCTACAGGTTCCACCTCCTGCTCCAAACGCACTTCACTTACTGGAGGATCTACACCCAAGACTCAGGTGCTGCCCTGCTTGCACCTTCTCATGCCTCACCCGTTGCTACATAGATGTTTGTGCCATAACCAGACAGGTACAGAATCACCCATGGTCCTGTCTGTACCCCATTCCTGAAAGTGGTGTAGGTTGTGAGGTCATCTGGAAGAAAATGATCTACTAACCCCAATGTGATTTGTTATCATGGGAAGAGGAGTTTTTTATAGCTTTTGCTTCTAGTGTTTGCTAGGAATGGGTGCCTGTTCTTTTCAGATGCGGCTGTTTCTGAATTACGGATATTGATGGGTAGGCTTGGTAGATAAGCTCTGCCCTCCCTCACACCCGTGCACCTCCGATGACTTCAGAAGGATCCTTTTTATATCCTGCTCTTCTTACAGCACCGTCGTTTGGATTTCATGGGGAAACGGGGCAACGGAGCTTCACCCAACAACAGCCGGCGCACGAGCCGTTGGCTCTTACCCCACGAGAAGGTGAGACTCTGGGTTAGCTGGGCAGACATCTGCGTGCCCTAGAGACAATCCCAGCAGGACGTCCCCCCTCTTGATTTACGTTGACACTCAGGGCCACAATTCTAGCTGTGAGATTATCCCATATTATAATGCAAATGGGAGACTGAGATTACCCAGCAGTAAGCAGTGCAAGCTTGCTTGCTGCCCCTTCTGCGAAGCAGGGAGATGGCCTAGTAGCTCCCACTCAAGAGACATCCTACAGCAGGTTTGTTATTTGCATTGCTTTGAAACCGAGATTATTTCCATGCTTCCTTGTTCCAGGTTTTAAAACCAAGACGACTTTCTTTCTTTTTTATCACGCTTCTTCCAGTTTCATGCCCTTTTCATCCGTCAGCCCGTGACACGCTGACAGTCTATTCCTTGTTCCAAAACTGTCTCCCAAAAATTCTGTAGAAAGGACATTCTGCCTGGTGGTGTGTTTGTTGGTTTTTTTTTTTCAAACATAGCTTTAAGGCAAAAGTTTGGCAATGCAAAGCAAAGTCTACATAAGGCCGCATGACTTGGATTTGCAACTCAGAACCTTACAGCTTAAAAAAATAATAATTCCTTATCTTAAATAGCCAACTTTTTGCTCCAGGAACTTGTTTTGTTCTCAACCAAAAAAAAAAAAAAAAAAAAAAAAGAAGTCTTAAAATCCCAAATAAAATGTCCTTATTGTTCTGGGCAGTCTGGACAAGCTAATGAGACTGAAGTTCAAACAGTAACTAAAGTAGGGAAGAAAAAAAAAAAAGCTATACGGGTAGACATCAGTGTTAGTTTCTTCCCGTAGGAATCCAGTGATGAGACAGACCCCAGTCAAAGGTCTCCTCTTTAGCTTTAGCACAGTGAAATCCGTCCCAATGGGAGAAGGTAGAATGGTTGCATTTGTTGAATGAATAAAAAGTGCATTTTGATTTTGCTCAGATTATACGTGTGTATTCTAATACCTAAGTGATTGTTTTGCTTTGTTGGTTTGGTTTTTTTTGTTGTTTTTTTTTTTCCTCCCTTTTGGTGCCGGGACGCCAGGTTTATATTATCGGTGTTTTGGAGGTATCACCACAAGTGGTGGTCCATCCTTTGGCCTCCACATGAGTACCTGAGCATCATTGGCATTGGGTTTGACAAGGGCACTGGGTGGTATTGGCTCATTCTTGCTAAGGACCTGGGGCTGCTCTTGAGCAGAGGGCTCCTGCAGCTTGGCACGCTGCCCCAGGGGTCTGCTGGGATTTACCTCGATGCCCAGCCTCATGCGCCATTTGATAGTCTGCAAGGTCACCATTTCATGGGTAGCCATGTTGGTTGCAACCAGCCAGGTGGTGAAGCTTTGATCCCGGTGAATGCTTGTGAGTTTGGCCACGTTGCTCTCGCTGACGGGCACTGCCCACGTGACGCTTGGGTAAAAGTTGTCGTTCATGCTGATGTTGAACTTGGACTCCTTCTTTGTGGGACCCACGATGGTGCAGGTTTCTGTCGTGTTTCCGTACCAGGGATAGTTCACTCCATCTGAGTCACTGATGGCCTGGATTTTACCGTCCAGTAGATCCGGAAGCTCCCAACTTGACCTGCCATAACCAACAACAAATTATGGATAATGCATTAATTAATTAGTTTAGAAACATGCCGGACTTCAAGGAAGAAGAGGTAGGAGTTGTGAATACATTCCCCCTTCAGCTTTTACTGGAATTTGTGCCTTTCACGCCATCCTGCCGAAAGAGCTCATCCCTGCCATTAAAACTGTCTGCAAATTTCCAGGACTAATCATGAACGTCTGTCCTGCTGTTAAACACCACTGAGGAACCATCACCCTGCAGGGCCAGGGCTTTCCTTGCAGGGACCGGTGGCTACCTGGAGTGGTTCAAAATATGTCTGTGTTTAAGTAAGGCTGCAAAGGGTAGGTGCTCAGGAAAGCTCCAGTGCTGGGGAAAATCCAGTGATGCAGGTATCTTCTTGCAGCAACTTGGCCGGCTGAGCACGGCTGAACACAAGGACTCGCTCCAGCGCCGCGTTCGGGATCTCGACTCTTGCGCCGGTGAGAGCAGGGCTCGGGGCTGAGTTTCTTTCTCTCAATAGCACAAAATCTCCCGTGTCGGCAGAAGAACGGGCAAGCTCAGAGCTGGCCCTGGGGGTGAGGTGACAGGAGAGCCAACCTAAGCGGTGGAAGTAAGATCAAGGACTCAAGCGGACCATAAAGCTTCCCGTTGCCCCATTCTGTTCTTTCTTTTCAGTGCCTAACTGCAAACGCTCATTTTTCTCTCTGGATAAGCCACTGTCCCTCCCCGCTGTCTGCCTGGCGCTGGAAGTGTAACCCATCCTTCTCCAGCCCTAGGAAGGACCCAGTTCAAAGGCTGCACACCAGGCTCCGGGCTGGGGATGGTATTACAGTAATCAGAGAAACTGAGGTCAGCCAGCTTGTAACACTGCCTGAGCCGGTCGTCTGTGTGCTGTGCTTGCGAGACTGATGGAAAGGTCAGTCTTTCTAGCAAGAAAGTAAGTGAAAATGGTCCTCCGTCGCCTTGTAATGCACAACTTGGATTTCTTTTATTAACTTCCAATTTAATTTTTAAGATTAGATTTGCCAATCGAAGCAAACTACTGCAAACGTCTCAGAAAAAGGGTGAGCTATTTGCAGAGTAAAGGCACTAAGATGGCATAACCATAGACCACGTGCTCAGCGCATGCCAGGTATTTTAAGGACATTCTTTTAAAAACCAGGGTGGTAGAGGCGGCTCTAATTTACCTTCTCCCTCTTGCTTACAAATCAGCCCTCCCCGCCACCCGGAGACGGTGTCCCCGCTGTTGAAGTGGCAGAAGGGGCTATGTGGCAGCAGCAGCAGCTCGCTCCCAGCAGCTCCCAGCGTGGCTTTTGCCCTTGACCCCGCCGTGGGGCTGGGACGCTGGGCCGTGCACCAGCCCCCCAAGCCCTGCGGCTCCCTGCTGCGGGCTGTGCCACGGGACACGGTTTATCTTGGGAGGGAGACAGAGGGGACGTGCTGAGGCTCGTCAGGGTAACTGTCCAAGCCTTTAATAAGTCCAGCACTGCGGCTTAAAATAGCCCCTTGACTGAAGCGGGGGCTGCGGCTGGGTGCCGGCTGGGGGGGGGGGATTGGGGGGGGCCGGGCCCGCGCG